GTGTGTGTGTATTACTTTGTGGAGTTTTTAATCAATGTGTGCTACTTTGGGTGTAAAAGCACTATTTAAGCAGATAGGTTATGTTGTATGCTTATTTTAACCTATTTATCAATATAGAAAGAAAACAGCATTTTCTTTGTTCTGAAATATTACACATGAATATGATTTATGACAGAAAATCAGAGTAAGATGTTGCAATTCTGCAGCTCCTTTTACACTATTCAGATGTTACATGTGAACTGTAATCAAACGAAGAATCTCTCCGAAGTATATTGCCTTTTCTTGATCTTCTTTTGTAGTGCGTATTTACCTTCCTGTTGTTATTTATAAAAAGAGTGCATACCATATTTTGTACTTTATCTATATTGTGCACCTAGTTTGTGTAAATTGTCCTGTGCACTGACACTGGATGACTAGATGGCTAAATGCTATGATGCACAGGGTTTTCCCAAGGTTTGTATGTGCTTGTTGGGCTTGTAAACAGGCATTCGCATTTTGAGGCTGTTGTTTTGCATGCATCACCTGTGACGGCTGATTTTGTTGTTTCCTGCTTGTCATGAATTGATTTCCTTCATAGCAGCGAAAGACATTACAAGGAATAACCAAACACTTTTCGTGCTGATTAACTCTGAAAAACTCACTATGAACAGACCAAAAACACTGGCTATTCTCGTATTATTAAGGCTACAAATAAGTCCATTTAAAAACAAACCTGAACACATAATCGCCTAGTCTGTTTGTATACAATTATCTCCACTTTTACATGGGACAGTGTGGTTTTCTTTCTCTCCATAATGGTGGAGAGCTCTTTACGTAGTTTTTTTGTTCTTTCGATGTAGGCATTGCATAGAATATCTTAGGTGCTGCACTGAAGTCTAGTCAGGGTGGTAGGAAAAACCCTACACAAGCAACATTTTGAAACTGATGCAGAACAGTGCAAATGTATTTGACACTTTAGATGTTATGATTCTTGTCCATAATGCAGTACAATTAGGGAGGCATCCGACTGATCCCAAATTCTTTCTATAGCATGAGTTAACAACCCCAAACAGACAGCCAGAGTCATAATCAACAAGGAGCCTCCACAGAGCCCATATCTCAAAATCATTAAGTCAGTCTGGGATGACATGAAGAGGTGAAAAGATTGAAAACATTGAGATAACATCAATCCAGTAGAACTGAAATAAGTTTCCAAGATGTTTCCAGCGAACTAGCTGCCAAACACCTTAATAAACTGTGCACGTGTTGTTTTAAAGGCCAAAGGTGCTGCCATCACATATTCAAATATTGATTTGAATTAGTTTTCTTTCTGTTTACTGCAGTTTGTATGAAGCTAAATGATAAATAAAAACTGTTGACAGGATTATTGTAGTGCCTTAGTAGCTTTTAGTTTCTAAAACCTTTGCATAAAACTTAATGTAGAAATGAAATAATACAGAGAAATTCATCTCATCATCACAGCCAGTCACCATCAGTGCCAGGACAGAACTAGCCAGCTGCACTTTGAAACAGTGGAGGGTGTGCTACATGATGGCCTGGACAAACAGGCTGTGAGGTGTAAATTTACCCTGTTGACTGTGAAAGGACAACCAAAAAAAAGTTGAACATGACAGGCTACCATGTGAGCTTTGAAGAAGGATGTAGGTCAGGATCCGGACGCAGCCCATACCTCACGTTTTGCATACAATATGTCACAAAGTGTCACATTTTCTATTTTGAAATAAAATTTCTATTGATCAATAAATTGTTCATGTTGTTGAATATACAGTGTAGTTGAAGATTATTCAAAGCAATCCTGTCCCCAGATAAACGTGGCTCTAATGCGGCTTATTTCCCTATCATGGACATCGTTGTCATGGCGACATTAACTATTGGAGGGAGTGCTGTTGTTCCCGTGTTCACACAGTAATGTTGCACCAGAGTGTGTTATGTTTTATCTAGTACACAACTAGTGTAAATGTAAGAATATGTGCATCAGAAATAAATATCAACTAACTGTCTGAGTTGTGTCACAAGAGGCGCAACATTTGTGGTGTAACCAGAGTTCAGCGGTCATACTGATGCAACTAAAAGAGGGCAGACAGTGTCCTTTTTCCCACAAGGCTCGAATGTATTTTGACTCTCTTGTCAGTCTTAAACTTGATTGTATAAGGCCTAACAGTTACAAGTGAGTTTATTGAACGTTATTTTGTTGTCACTGATCAATTTGGACCTCTGACCTTAAAAAAACGTCAGACTTTGAGTAATACGTTTCAGCTGTGTGTGTTCTTTGGGTTAGTCAGAGTAGAAGAGGGCAGTCTAAACTAACAGGACAGAGGGGCTGTCGTTACCCTCAGCACAGACCATTGTTGACAACAGTCAAACGCTGTGTACTTTGAGTCTATCTCTATCCCACAATAAGCCTCACGCTCTTTCTCCGGCTCCCTCCCCCAGTTAAGTTTGCAGCTACTGAAACAATAGTATTTACTCCACAGACCTGTAGAGAATCTCAACAGCTGCCAACAGGAAAACAAACACACACACAGACACACACACACAGGCACACACACACACACTGTACACTGCAGTGACGCCTGTGCATGGATTTTGTGCCACTGAATGCATTGTGTGTATAATGTGATGGGATTAAATATGGATATGACTGTGTTTACTGCTGAACCTTGCCAGGCAGGAGCAAATATTTATCAAGTTCATACTGTTAGCTTGAGCTGATTCATGGAGCTATTATTGGCAATTAATCTGATAAATGTGCTGCATGTAAATCTTTCAAACATGGAAATTTCTTTTCTGAGTGTTTTGGATGTTTGGCTCCGCCTCATTTTATTCTGAAATGCATTCAGATCTATGTGAGGGCCGCATGACTACCCTTATTCTGCTCCATGTGCTGTCAGACATAGACAAGAACATGGAATCTTTTGTTTTGGTATTAGAATAGGGGAGCAATTAATCATTATTTTCATGTTGATGAGTCTGTCAGTTGCTTTCTCAGTAAATAGTTGTTTTTTTCTATGAGATGGCGATCAGTATTTCCCAGATTCCAAAATGATGTTCTAAGACATCGTATTTGTCCACAAGTGGAACATATTCAGTTTACTTTCATAGAGAAGTGACAAAACCAGAAAATATTTAAATTTAAGAAGTTGTAAGTGGGAGAAATTTGACGTTTTTCCTCTTTAAAAATAACTCAGACTGATTAACTGATTGTCAGAATAGTTGATGATTCATTTGATAGTTGACAACTAATTCATAACGATTATTTCCCCAATGCACTGCAAACTATTTAAAATTGCTAAATAATTCTGTGGCATGTCAACTCTTTGTTGTATCCCCCAAATGGCTAATTTGATTTTCTTATGCCATTAAGAATTTAATGATGTCTGCAGAGTTTTCCTGCTTAGAGGAATTTTTGTTACCTCTCAAAGAAGTTTCACACAGGTCTAGATGAAAATCACCAGCATCAAAATGATGAGAATTCAGCATTAAAATAACAAATAACATTATTATTATTTTTTTTTTTTTGCAAAATGTTGTTTTCATTTGCTCAATTCTGATAATAATTTTTGTTTATCAAATGGTCATAAATAATAGAAAGATCCATCAATTTCTGTCAAATAAGGTAACACAGACTCATTGCCTTGACTGTACATGGACAGATCTTGCTTACTGTTGTGCATAAACACCCCTCAAGGTCCACTCTGAACCAGGAAAAATGCTGTTTTCCACTATTGCCATTGAAAGTCAGTAAACATCCAGTATTTCAAGTGGCCTCAGGCACATGTTGAGCCCTGGCCATGATCAATGTCATGAATCCAGGTTTGATGACCTATGGTGACCCATTCGTCGGAGAACACAAACTCCAGGTTTATTCTACATTCTGGTCTAAGAGAGTTTTGAGTATCTCATCATTCTGAAAGTTCTATTAAATGTGGGACTTCTGCTCAAGTCGAAGAGGAAGTGATATTTCTGTCCACCTGAATCAAGTGGTGCTTGTTATTGACCATATAAAAAGAAACTTTTTTATGCACTTTGCGGTTTTCAGTTCTATTCCAGTCCATGTTTTAGTTCCTGTAGGACACTGACCTGGAAAAACCAAGCAAACAGCTGAGCGGTCAGAGCAGGATGAATTCCCAACATGACTTTATCCCTCCTTCCATTTATACACAAACCTACTGTAAATAAGCACAGTGTTAAAGAGGAAGTAAAAGCATTTCATCGTATTTTGCATAGGCTGCCATCCTAACACGTACACTGCTGAACAGACACACATACAAACACCAACGGTCATAACCCACAATGTTTGCTTGGCAAATTGAACATTTTGTAACCAGTCCACTGAGCCGACATGAAGAGCAGACATGAAAATCATTAAACTCCAGCTTGTGGCTGCAGGCGTGTAGTCCCGGCTGGGCAATGTCAGAGCATTGATCTGTGATTGGTTGAGAATATAGAGCTTGTGGTTCAAATCAGAAATGCAGTTCACACTCTGAAGTTTGCAGTTGTTTAATGAATGAAAAATAACAAATTCTGTCAGGGATACAGGCAAAGACTGGGAAATATTTATCCTGTTTTAAAAAATGAAAGTGTTTTCTTTGTTTCTTTATTTGTGCACTGTAACTTTATAGTATGTATGCACTGGTGTCAACTCTGTTCTGCCCTACTGTATCACGCTACTGTAAGGATAAAGCACGCTCACAACTGTGACAGACAGCAACAGGTTGAAGCTCTCTACAGTGTCTAAACCCCCCTCACTCTCATGCATACATACATACACACACCCGATCCACTGAGGTCAAGTACAGGAGTGTTTGTGCAAATGTCAGACCTGCAATGTTATTTTTTAGTGCTGTCAAACAATTGTCTGAAGGTTGTCTCTCCCTCTTGTCTCCCTCCCTCTGTTTCTCACTCCTATTTGCTCCAACTTTCTTTTTACTGTATTTTTTCCTTTCTTTTTCTCTGCTTTCTCTTCATACCTTTCTGTCCCTTTCTTCTTCTCTGTGCAGGTTTCAGAAGCACGTCCACACATACAGAATCCTACCAGACGATGAAGGATTTCTGGCAGTACAGGTATAGAAAAGACACATACTCTCTCCCAACTCATGCTTCAGCAGCAGCTGGCAGCCAGAGATGCTTTTGTTGGCTCTCTCACTCTCTCTCACACACACACACCAACAGCAGCCTCTTTGTGCCTTGTGCCCAACAGCTGTGAAGTCCCCACCACCACCAGCCTCACACACACAACAACATGGTGCTTTAGACCATGTGGCCACATCACAGATGTCTGTCTCACTGCTGTACGATTTTTTTTTTTTTGTGAAGAAATGACGCTGAAAAGAGCCTTAAAGTGTAATTTTGCTTCCTGGAACTCAATTTGTTTGCACAGCAGTGTTTACCAAAACACTTCTTCCTGGTTTCAGTCATATTTAGCCTACTGGGCCATATTTGCTTACACGATATTAAATAATCGAACAATAGAGGTCACCAGAGATTTCAGTAACATAACTACTTGGAGTTTGGATGTTATCAAGCCATGCAGAAAATAACATTCCTTCTTTCCGTTGTCTCTTGGTGTATCCCTCCCTGAATGTCTTCCTTCCTCTCAGACATCTCAGGGCGTACAGCCGAAGCGGTTTAAGACGCTGCCAGAGTTGGTGTCATTGTACCTGCAGCCCAGCCAGGGTCTGGTCACCACCCTGCTTTACCCTGTGGACAGAGAGGAGACGGCCATCAGTGATGACAGGGACTATTCAGGTAACTCCAGAGCCAACAACAACACATCCGTATGGCCGCTGAAGCCTCCTCCTTCATGTGTTAACTCTCACCGTCTGTGATTGGTAGATGGAGAGGATGAGAAGCCGCCCCTCCCCCCTCGATCTGCCTCCACCTCCACTCCACCTGGACCAGACACACCCACAGACAGGTACAAAGTCCACACAAGGCCTCATTTGATTGTGTTCTGTTCACACTGATACCACAGCACAGAGAATCAAAACACAAACTACCCTGACAGCCTTCTTCACCAACATGTTAGCCATGTAGAGCAAGCCATGTTTGACACGCAGAAAAAGGGTGTCGCTTCACTGAAAGAAAGATGAAAGATTGTTGTCGAAATAAGCAGATTATCATCAGATTTAGGAAGCGCTCGTTCAGGCTCAAGCTCATTGGTACCCCCATGCACTAATATCCTCTGTCTAACACATGTGCCAACCTCTGTCAGCATAAAGAAGGTAAGCCACATCCTGCTGGAAACCACAGAGCTCACAGCCGACTGAAGGCTTTGATGAAGTGGGGGGATGTAGTTTGTATGTGCGTGTAGTTCAGATCTGTGCAGATTAATAAAGATCAGTTTCTTCACACAGACTAATGTGTGCTGTATTTGGAGAGAATTAGGAAATTGTATTGATAGATTGATATTTCTGATATTTCTTTAGCATATGAAAGTTACTTCTTCAAAGTTTTTTTTTTCTGCAAGAAACAACTTAAGCATTCGAGAACAGTAACAAAAATGTGTGTTTTGCATTTGCATGTTTAAAAATAAAGCTTGGTGCAGGAAATTTTACTTAGTTTATTTGGAAGCCACAATGTGGACCATATTAAAGGGTAGTGATTGCACAGATTTGCAGTTTCAAAAGTTTTACTAACAGAGGTTACACCAAAAGCAGTGTTTTATTTGGCCGTATTAAAAGTGGCATACGGGCTGCATGGAAAACAAAAAATTGCAAGATATTGAATAATCTGTCAGCTGTGTCTCTACAAAGGAAAGAACAACAAGAAGAAAACTGTCTGTAAAAATATAAAGGGAAGATACACTATTTTAATGTTAAGTTCAAAAAGAAATTGTGTCATGTTAAACAACCACAAAGATAGTCTGTAATGGAAATGCAAATCCTTCACAAGTTGTAGAAAAATAGTTGGTTGCCCGGGGGGGCTGATGGTGTTCGCTTGTTTAAGGGGTTGTATGTGTGTCTGTGAGTGTCAGAGTAGACATAAGTTACCGTAGAGGAAGGATGTGATTCCAAAAATCCTGACTGCACAGATGCAGTGCAGGCAGATTTACACAACCACATCTTTGCAGCTATGGCAGATATGACGTTCAAGGCAGTTCTCCATTTTTTTTTTCGGGGAAGTGATTTACTCCCTGTTTTTTACGCCTCCACACTGTGACAGCCGTGACCGGAGGCATGTTTTCAGGTTGTCTGTCCATCCCATTCTTGTGAACGTGGTATCTCCTGAATGCCAAGAAGGAATTTCTTCAAATTTCACACAAATGTTCACTTGAACTCAACAGTGAACTGATTAGAATTCGGTGGTCGAAGGTCACTGCAAACTCACAAAACACTAAAGAATTTATACGGTAATTATGACAAATATTCCACATGAATGTCTATTAGGATAAAATGACAAATTGATGGCATCTTATCTCCAAAAGGTCAACGGTCAGCTTCACTGTGACATCGTAATTTTTTGCCAAAATACTTGTCTGACCGTTATTGAATGTCGTTACGCAGAAACAGAAGGGGAGATTGTGACCATGTTTCCCATTTAGCCGGAAACTGAATTAGTGACACTAATCCTGGCTGCCTATTTTGAAACTGTGATGATTGTGAGCTGATGATAGGTGTAAAGTATTCACATTATAGAATTTATAGTTTTTTGCAGCAACATCCACATTTAAAACATTGTCTACTGTCATGGCTGCCACTTTGTGTTTTATCAGAATCAGCTTCAGTGACCAAGCATATGAGCAATATGATAAGAAGTTCACTTTTTGTTTCTCTCAATGATCTTACACACTTTTAAGTCTTCACTACATATATTATATGAGTTTGGACAGACGTGGATGTAAACTGCAGCTTGACTGGTTGGCTAAGGCCAAGCCCCAAGAAGGCAATTCATGTTTTAAGTATCAACTTAAACTTTATATACCTGTGTGTGACTTTTGACAGTAATAGCATAAAAGTAATACAGTACATCAGGTAAACAACATAAAGACAGAAGAAATGAGAATATCCATCCATTATCTATACACCGCTTAATCCTCACTAGGGTCACGAGGGGGCTGGAGTCTGTCCCAGCTGACTTATGGTGAAGGCAGGGGACACCCTGGACAGGTCGCCAGTCTATCGCAGGGCTACACTTAGAGACAGACAACTAAGCACACTCACATTCACACCATTCATGCCACTGACGATGTGTATTATTTACAATTTTAAATCACAATACGTCTGTTTTTTATTTCAATTTCCTTTGTACTTAAATCCGTAGACTGGTGTGTAGAATCACATGCATGTTGTGAAAATGGTTTAAATGCTCATAGGATTATATTTGGATTTGTTGTAGCCCTCCAGCAGCCAATGGCCTGAGCACCATCTCCCATGAGTACCTGAAGGGCAGCTACGCTTTGGACCTTGAGGCGGTCAAACAAGGAGCCTGCGCTTTGCCTCACCTCAACAAGACGCTAGTGGCCTCCTGCAAACGCCTTAATGGGTAAAGACACAGTGTATAGAGTGTGTAGAGACACATATTCCCCAGACACATACCCTATTGTCCATACATTTTCTATACAAAGCTGTTCTTCTGTGTCTGGGCTCGTCACTATACTGAAAGTCTAGTCAGGAGCCTGCAGATCGACCCACTTCCTCAACTCATCTCTTGTTTTGGTCACGATGGCTCATGTTGCACATTCAAACATTGCAATGCAAACGGAAAAAAAAACAACTGAGTCATGTCGATATTAATCATCTGTGTTCACTGTGCAGACACAATATGCACATATTCGTCTTGTAAAAATGTTTCACTGTAGAAAGGTCTAAATGAAGAGGAAGGTGTGATTTAGAGAAGGAAGCTTTGAGAAAAAGAAGTTGTCAATCTCTGTTTCCTCAAATAGGGAGGTGGATAAAGTTCTGTCTGGTCTGGAGATCCTGTCGAAAGTCTTCGATCAGCAGAGTGCATTCATGGTCTCAAAGATGATCCAACAGGTACGTCTCTTTGCCTTTTTTTGTGTGTATGCTCAACTAGAAGAGAAGCAAGCAGAGGTGTTCCTGTCTTTTTATCATCTTGCTTCCAATTTCTGTTACATATGGTGATTTGTCCTACGATACGAAACACGTGATAAGTGCTGACATATGGTTAGTTATGGAGATGTGGCGACTGCTCTTTAGTACAGATGCTGAATATTGTAATGTTTTGCTAAATCATGTAAACCTCACCAGTCTGTGTATGTTTATCTTACTCTACACTTAGAATGTCAAATCCAAGCTGTGATACAGTTACTGTTATTATTCCACGAGCTGCTGTTCATGATTTCCTCACTCTATAGCCAACAGTTAGAACCTCCGTTGTATTTGTTTGACAGCTCATTGTGTTCATTGCTCACTATGAATGTGGTGAGTCTTAGAGAGAGATTTTAAATCAGTTTCCCAGATGATGGAATATGTGACATAATGTCCTTAAGTAACAAGTAAACACTCCTGCTGGAGCCTTGTTGTGTTGTTAAGCTCCTTGTATACAGAGCAGTAAGAAGGAACAGTGATTCAGTAACAAGTTCATAAAATGTAAACAGACTAATAAAAGAGAGACTAGACCTAACTTCGGAGGACTATTGCCGACTTTAACATGCTGTGAGACCTTTTCACATGTGCGTAGAGATAACACGGACACATGTGTTGCTGTGCAGTGGGTGTCATGAGAAGAACCTTGTTTTTTTAATCCCGTATGTTATTAGGTCAGCTAAGCTAGAGCCAGTCACACTACAGTCATACATACTGTTAGTGAAACGACTTGTGTTTGTGTCTGTTTAGCGTAAGTGAGGATGTGATATTTGTAATTTTCTTCTGGTAGCTGTGTGTTATTGTAAAAGAGATGTTGTTAAGACAGGCAGAATGTCATGTTTATATTTATATTTTTAGATATAAATATTGGTTGAAAAAAAATCTAATGAACTAGACAGATGCTATCGCAGTAATATCGTTGTGATTCGTCAAGATTAAAATATGTTTTTTACATGTTGGACAGAAGGTCGGCCAAGTGCTGCCTCAACAAAATCTCTCAACTTAAAGGGTCACATTAGTTCAGTTTACTCACCAAGCAAACATGTTGTTTCATATTTGAAGAAAAACTGATTTGTTTACACATGGAAGGACCAGTTTGTGTTGGCTGGGCAGTTTTACAAGCTGCTACATATTTGTAGTTGAAGGACCAGATGAAACGCACAGTTGAGATTTCTAAAAACTTGCTGCATAAATGCCACACTTTTGCTTCCCTAAAGTCTGTCTCAATTACACCCTGATTGTCTTTTAAAAGTTTACATGGATTCTATTTTCTTTTTCCTCCATCAGTCTGTGAATCAGGGTGGAGACCAGGAGTTGGAGAACCTTGTGACCAAGCTGGCAATTCTCAAAGACCTGCTGTCTTCTATAGAGAAGAAGGTACGCACATACAGTGTATTCAATCACACTTGATCACATCTACTCCTTCCTTATTATTGTCTCTCTCTTGTATTTTTTTTTTTTGTTATTGTTTTTGTATATGCAGTCACGAACACATACGCTGTTACACACGTGGACAAAATTGTTGTCACCCCTCGGTTAAAGAAAGAAAAACCCACAGTGGTCACAGAAATAACTTGAATCTGACAAAAGTAATAATAAATAAATAAATATTCTATGAAAATTAATCAATGCAAATCAGACATTGCTTTTGAACCGTGGTTCAACAGAATTGTTAAAAAAATTAAAAATAAACTCATGAAACAGGCCTGGACAAAAATGATGGTACCCCTAGAAAAGACTGAAAATAATGTGACCATAGGGACATGTTCAATCAAGGTGTGTCCTCTCATTAGCATCACAGGTGTCTACAAACTTGTAATCAGTCAGTCGGCCTATTTATAGGGTTACAAGTAGTCACTGTGCTGTTTGGTGACATGGAGTGTACCACACTAAACATGGACCAGAGGAAGCCAAGGAAAGAGTTGTCTCAGGAGATTAGAAAGAAAATTATAGACAAGCATGTTAAAGGTAAAGGCTATGAGACTATCTCCAAGCAGCTTGATGTTCCTGTGACTACAGTTGCACATATTATTCAGAAATGTAATATCCATGAGACTGTAGCCAACCTCCCTGGACGTGGCTGCAGGAGGAAAATTGATAACAAATCCAAGAGACGGATAATACGAATGGTAACAAAAGAGCCCAGAACAACGGCTAAAGACATTAAAGGTGAACTCCAAGGTCAAGGTACATCGTTGTAAGATTGCACCATTCATTGTTGTTTGAGCCAAAGTGGACTTCATGGGACACGACCAAGGAGGACACCATTGTTGAAAACAAATCATAAAAAAGCCAGACTAGAATTTGCAAAACTGCATGTTGACAAGCCACAAAGCTTCTGGGAGAATGTCCTACGGACAGACGAGACAAAACTGGAACTTTTTGGCAAGGCACATCAGCTCTGTGTTCACAGATACAAAAATGAAGCATATCAAGAAAAGAACACTGTCCCTACTGTGGAACATGGAGGAGGCTCTGTTATGTTGTGGGGCTGCTTTGCTGTATCTGGCACAGGTTGTCTTGAATCTGTGCAGGGTACAATGAAATGTCAAGACTATCAAGGTGTTCTAGAGACAAATGTGCTGCCCAGTGTCAGAAAGCTTGGTCTCAGTCGCAGGTCATGGGTCTTGCAACAGGATAATGAGCCAAAACAAACAGCTAAAAACACCCAAGAATGGCTAAGAGGAAAACATTGGACTATTCTGAAGTGGCCTTCTATGAGCCCCGATCTAAATCCTATTGAACATCTGTGGAAGAAGCTGAAACATGCCGTCTGGAGAAGGCCCCCTTCAACCCTGAGACAACTGGAGCAGTCTGCTCATGAGGAGTGGGCCAAAATACCTGCTGAGAGGTGCAGAAGTCTCATTGACAGTTACAGAAATGGTTTGATTGCAGTGATTGCCTCAAAAGGTTGTACAACAAAATATTAAGTTAAGGGTACCATCATTTTGGTCCGGGCCTGTTTCATGAGTTTATTTTTTAAAATAATTCCATTAAACCACGGTTCAAAAGCAATGTCTGATTTTCATTGGTTAGTCATCCAGACTGTGGAAACTGAAAGCTGAAAATGCCTTCATATCTTTTTATAGCCTTCCCCTGCTTTGTAGGCATCAGTTTGACTCATGGCTGGATACCACAAGGTTTGAAGAGTTAGAGATCTTATTAGCTGGAACTGTTATCAGCTGACAACTCCTGAGGACATATCTCCCTCACAAACTCTCGCAAGTAAATGAAGGCCTGATGAGGTGATGAATTTCTGAGACTTTGCACGTAGGCAATGTTTTGCACATGCCACAATTGCTGTTAATATTTGATGGGGAGTTTTAATGTCTGTTTGCTGCTGGGATTGCATTTACCTCTGTTCACTTCAAAAATCAACATATAGAATTTGGGGTAAATACATGCATGGTTCATTTCCGCAAAGTGTTTCAAGCCACATTTTTGTCTTTTTAAAAATTTTTTTTTTATTAAAAATCATGCCTAACCCTACTTCTTTAGAATTTGCTTTTTTTCTTGATTTCAGAATACATTTTCAAAAGCTGTGTCGTGTTAATAGGTCACACTGTTTTTAGTTTGACTTCACTTGTAAGGAGGGGCTTCAGCTGGCTCTGGAGGAAATGGCCTCAGTGCAGTGAAGCTACAAGTCCGGACGCATGTAATGATACTGACTCCACCTTCTCTGCTCCTGTTAGTTCACATCCAGGAAATTGGAAACCATTTTTCTTTGTTGACACCAACACTGAGACTGAAAACATTACAGTTTATCTTAATGTGTTAGTGCGTCATTTCTTTTGTATGTGTGTTTTGGTGTCTCTCTTTCCCCTCTTTCATTTTTTTCTTGCTCTTTCTGTTAACTGTTTCTCCTTATGCCTCTCTCCTTCTTTGTCCCCTCAGGCTCTGAAAGCTCTACAGGACATGAGCCTGTCCTCTCCGTGCTCCCCTCCTCCTCTCTCCATGCGTCACAGCAAAGCCATTCCTGTGCAGGCCTTCGAGGTACACACCTACATCCGCGCACATGCCACCCACACACATGCACACACACACATGCACACACACACACGCACACACACATACTTCATTCGTGGGTGTCCGTCTGGAGGCGATACAGGTCAGTGTTGCAGCAGTAGTGATCATATTATCTTTTCCTAACTTTTGACCTTTACATGATCAGCTAAAGAAGGAAATTCTGTTTTACCCCTTATTTAATCTGTAAACAGTGACGTGAGAAGTATCTGTGTTTTAACTGAGCAGAAGGAACCCATATTTATTAAGACAATCACTGGCCTCTCAGCCAAATTGCCCCCTGGGGGATACTAAAGCTTGTCATAGCTCTCTGTTGTCAATCTGGGTATGCACCAGTCTTTGTGTCAAAGTCTTAATTCTTTCATGTTTCCTGTTTATTTTACAGAACAAGGAATCATTTTTCCTGATATGTTCTTAGTCTGAAGGAAAACATGAGATTTGTTGTGCTGCAACACCTCCAGATTTACTTTTAAAATGTTACTGTCAAGGAATAGTGATTTTGTGTCCTGGTTGACACAAAACGTACAGTAGAGCAGACTCAAGAGTCTTTTATCCCTCAACACTCTGCTGGCAGTTTGTCAGCATTGCTGATGTAAGACCAAAGGAATGTTTGTAATGCATTTCCTTTAGCATCATCAGTGACGTTCTAATGATATTTGTCACATCTGGCGTATCTTTCCATGCAGAATACGCATACATTCTGTGGTTACATCCTTTCAGTAGCTTCCTGTTGCACAGAAACTGAAGTGTTGTTACGATGAGGAGGTGTGGCACCTGATTCGCCCACTGACATACAGACAGACCCTATCACTGTTTACACGTGGTGACTCAAAGTAAGAGTCACCGTCTGCTTTCTGGTGAAAGATAAAAAAAAGAACTGCTTTCTGGTGAAACCTCTTTTCTTCTGAGAAATCTTTTGTCCAATGTTTTTGAGCAAAAGCCCAGTGGATTCATAAAGGTCCACTTTCAAAATCTGCCGCATATAACAGACATAGGTTCAACACAATGTTAATGTCATAGAAGCAACATGTTTGTTTTGTATGTGATAACAGTGGAGGGAGAAAGTGTTGACTCTTTCACTGCTTTCTTGATGGGGACCCCTGGTGGTGCAAAGTCTTGAAATGAGCTCTGTAGACACAAATATGTGTACAAATATGTGTTAAATCCTTTTCACGTGGTCCGTTTCAGGTGAAGCTTGATGTTTACCTGGCAGAGCTGACAAAGATAGGAAAGAGTCAGAAGTACACTTTGTCTGTGGATGTGGAGGGAGGACGGCTCGTAGTGATGAAGAAGGTGAAGGACAATCAGGAGGACTGGACCACCTTCACACATGACAAAAGTGAGAATTACACACTTTTTTACACAGAAAAACTTTATTTTCTGAACTGTAAGATTAGGTATCAGGAACATAAACAGAAACGTGAGTAAAGCCAAGCAGATAGTGACTCATCTCATCTTGTCATCATTTATATAAAATAAGTAAGAAGATGACAGCCTAAGCAGTAGTGCATGTTCTTCAATCATTTTATTTTCTGTGTGAAATAAGACTCCTGCTTGTTTACTTCATGGTTAATGTTGTATGAAATGATAGCATGCTAACTTTTTATATTTAATAATGAGTACACTTTTGAATGCTTCCCACCATTAAACCAGTTTAAATGTATCTGAACTGCAAGAGGTTGACTGTATATGTGGATCTAAACCCGTGGGAACATAAAATTCGTGATATCTTATGAAGATGCAGACCAAACAATATGAATAGGTCTCATATGGTGAAATTTCTTTTTTTTTTTGTGTTGGGGTTGGTTTAAACTTGGAGCTGTAAAATAAAAGTTCTGAAGATGTTTAGTTAGTTTGGAGCCCTGTGTGGACTTCTGTGTGGCATGAGCGTTGTTTGGTAAACGGCTATGTATACAGTGATGTATGGAGTGGCTCTAACTTGGCTCCTTGCCAATGGAAAAGCAAAACAGGTTCTTAGAAGGTGCGAGATTTTAACCAACTAAGCACTGGCACTAGCACTAGCAATGAACTAGCACCTGGTTCTTCTTGGTGGGAAAACTGCCAAAACCAGATGTTATACAGTTTTGATGAAAAGAATCAGCTTTGCTGTATTTTGAGGTGAAAAATTAAGACACGTTATTGGAACATGCAAATCTTTTGCTGAAAGAGGGTATAATATGGGGCCTTTAATGCCCACTTTGACAACTTATGATATACCTTTGACAAGTCATATTTTTGTGTTTCTTTTTTCTCCTTTTTGACTCTAAATTTTTTTTTACTAAGTTTCTCTTTTACATTAGCTTAATGTTTGTTCCCTGAATTTATCTGTAATGCCCTTCTATTACCCTCTGTCTCCCATCTGTCTGTCTATTTGTCCGTCTTTCTCAGTACGTCAGCTGATCAAGTCTCAGCGGGTGCAGAATAAACTGGGCATTGTGTTTGAGAAGGAAAAGGATAAGAGCCAGAGGAAAGACTTCATCTTTGCTAGTGCCAAAGTCTGTACACACAACACTCACACACACAAAAACTCTCAAACATAATTTGTACAAAACCCGATCTTTTACTGTTACTCAGCTGTTTGAACGACACCCTGCAAACATTACAGTGAACACGCATGTTTACAAACCCACAGATAAACCTATTCTATGAATTCGATTTCTACTGAGACTTTCTCTGTCCTGTCAGTCATCAGCTCTCACTTTCGTAAATAAGAGAGCTGTTAAGAAATAAACTCAAATGTACATTATATACACATTTAAAATTTTCTAAAGTGCTTAAAAATAACATGTTTTTGTGTCAACTTCCACTCAGCGTGTGTGTGTTTGTTTGTTTCAGAAGCGGGAGGCGTTCTGCCAGCTGCTGCAACTGATGAAGAACAAACATTCCAACCAGGACGAGCCAGACATGATTTCCATCTTTATAGGCACCTGGAATATGGGTTAGACACACGTATACATTGTGTAACACAGCCTGCGTTAATGTCAACACATACCGACTAATTAAATGTTTACACATTCCTGCATGTATTTCCAGAGGGTGACATATTTGATGAGAATGTCTTGCATATATCTGTCTTTGTCTTTAGGCTCAGTGCCTTCGCCGAAGTCTGTTGCTTCGTGGGTGTTGTGTCGAGGTCTTGGCAAAACTCTGGATGAGATGACTGTCACCATCCCACATGACCTGTATGTGTTTGGAACCCAGGAAAACTCGGTGTGTGATCGGGAGTGGGTGGAGTCGCTACGTGCCATGTTAAAAGAACAGACAGAGCTGGATTATAAGCCGGTAAGGAAAGAAGGTGGAAACAAAGATTCCATCACCATTAAACTGATTGCATTAGCATTGTATTTGTGGTAATGGCGCTTGCTCACACCTACCAAATCTATTTAAGTCACTTATGTTCGAGACAGTGAAGAAAGAAGGTCTATTTTTGTATGATGTGAATGCAGAAATGAAGACTCTAGGTTCCTCATTGCCAGTGCCTCTTGTCTGTAGATCGCAGTGCAGACTCTGTGGAACATAAAAATTGCTGTGTTGGTGAAACCTGAACATGAGAACCGGATCAGCCACGTAGGGATGTCCAGTGTCAAGACAGGCATCGCTAACACACTGGGTAACAACAGTACTCTGTATTCAGTCTTTCTTCGTTCCAGCAGTCGAATTACAGCACAATCAAACCCTCTTTTTTCTTTAAACAGTAGGCTAACTCATGGGGTAATCATAATTTTGCATCTCTTGTGGTCACACTATGATGAAAAATTTTGTCTTGAATGAACCAGAAGACATCTTTTATCTGTTATTAAACTTTGTTAACCTTCAAAATAACTGCAACTTTGTAAGAAAGGAAAATTAGGTTTTTCCTCATCATAGCAAACTGAAGGTTTTTGTCTTAGATGTGAATGTGATTTTATTATTAAAGTAGATTAAATATTTTGTATGTTCTTTTTCTAAAATGTATTGTTATATAAAGTAATGCTTGCCTTTGGTCAAAAACTCTAAATTGCCGCTAGATATTGACTGAATGTTTGTTTTGTTGGTGTTCTAGGTAACAAAGGAGCAGTGGGGGTGTCTTTCATGTTTAACGGAACATCTTTTGGCTTTGTGAATTGTCACTTGACATCAGGGAATGAGAAGATTGCCAGGTACAGTCCTCCAAGCACACTGTTTATGGCTATTTACACTAGAATATACAGGAGAGGCAGAGGGAGTTTGACTTCTCCTTTATTAAGGCATGATCTCCCATGAAAACATAATTTGTGAAATTCTGGGGAGTCTCCAAAATATTAAACTGTTTTTGTCATGTATTTCATTTTTTTGTATTTTCACAATGGATCTTTGTTAAACTGGGCTGTTGATAATGTATGATTAATACATGAGGTTGATTCATCACTAATTCACTTTAATGAAGTTACAGCCATGTGCACTATTCATGGATTACCATTAAAGAGTGGCAGCGCAGTATTATAAACTGCACAGTGCACTACTGTATGTAATGGTGCTGAACAATATCTTTTTATGAATATTTTTATTAATAGGAATAATGATAAATAATAGTTTAGTCAAGTGCTTCATAAATGTATCTGTAGTTTGTTGCTATTATACGTCTCACACTCATCCAGGTCAAAGACTTTCCATATCAAGATTTTATCTTGTTACTACTTTTGAAACCAATAGACAGCAGTTTTACTTTGTGGAAACTAAATGTTCATCCTTTTTGGTTTGTGATGATGTATGCTTCTCATGCTTAAGAAAACATCAAACACACAGAAACGCTCATTACCTTTGATACAAACTTCCAGGAGGAACCAGAACTACCTTGATATCCTGCGGCTGCTGTCACTAGGAGACAAACAGCTGAGCTCCTTTGACATATCGCTGCGCTTCACACACCTCTTTTGGCTGGGAGACCTCAACTACAGGCTGGATATGGACATACAGGTGAAGCTGAACGAACACAACCAACCACAGAACAATAACATGCAGCAAATTTAAATAAAAACCTAAATTTCTTTCTTTTCCTTTTTTTGTGCGTCTGTGTATGCAGGAGATTTTAAACTATATTAACAGGAAGGAATTTGAGCCCCTGCTGAAGGTAGACCAGCTCAACCTGGAGAGGGAGAAGAATAAAGTGTTTTTACGCTTTGGTTAGTATGTCTTACCCAGAAGTGGTTACCTCCTCTACTTGAAATATTCACGAGTTGGAGCAGGATTTGTTTAAATGTAGGGAAGTAATAATTAATAATGATAAAATCTAACAGAAGGATTCACACCATAAAACAGAGTTTTAGTGGTCTCATAAATGCTATTGAAGTGATGACTCACACTTCCCAACAGCACCTTCTCATCGCAGTTGTTCTTCCGCTGAATAGTTCACCAAAACCACAGGTTTTCTTTATAAGAACAGGAAAACCAGACAGAAAGGCAGCAGTTGCAGAAAGACTCAGGTTAACCATTGTGAGTTGTCTTTTAAAGTATTGTTTTATGTTAATGAAACACATTGTGGTGTGAAATAATCAAAAATAAGACTATGATGAGCTTAAATCACTTCGTTCTAGTGTTTCTCAAAAGTAACACTTCCTTATTAACACCGCAGGTTTATACAATTTTTTAGTTTTTTTTTGCTGAAGATCAGCCTTTCTGCCACCTGAGGAACTCTGACAGCTTTCTCTTGCATCCATGTCATATGATACTTGCTTAAATACCAGCTGATGATTGGGGAAAATTGCTCTCATCAGCTACTGTGTGACACAAATACTGTGAATGTATCAGCCAAAGCAGCGAATACCAGCCAACCAATCAGCCAGCTCTGATTACAAAAAGCATCTCCAGCATGAATGCAGTTGATCTGACTCTGATATCATGGCACACAGAGTGTGATATTATAATGTGTTAATTCAGATATAAAATGCTATATTTGGAGCCTTTACAAAAATAAATGTGCCTTTTTGCTTGCAGCGGAGGAAGAGATCTCGTTCCCACCCACCTACCGGTATGAACGAGGCTCGAGAGACACGTACGTCTGGCAGAAGCAGAAGGCCACAGGGGTAAGTTTACAAATGTAATCACAGATAGACTTGCTCCTAGTCATTTCTGACAAGTGCTTCCTCTTTTTGTGAGTCATCCTGATAATTCTGCTATGTCTTCTACTTTTCTGTCTGTCCCAGATGAGGACTAATGTTCCATCCTGGTGTGACAGGATCCTGTGGAAGTCATACCCAGAAACACACATTGTCTGCAACTCCTATGGTGAGACCATGAGAAGAACATTTTTAAATTCATTGCAGCAGAGGTCATTGTTATAATTCTAGCCACAGTGTATAGTGGCTGATTTCACCTCAACATGTCTATTGGTTTTATAAGGCAGTTAATATTTGTTTGATTAGTAATTGATCAGCAAGTAGACTGAAAAAATGCTCTCTTTTACCAGGCTGTACAGATGATATAGTGACCAGTGATCATTCCCCTGTCTTTGCTACGTTTGAGGTGGGCGTGACCTCCCAGTTTGTCTCCAAGAAAGGTATTCGTGGATTAACTTTCACTTCTTCCTGTCAGTCGCTCTCCTTCAGTTCTTGCTCCTTTGCTCACAAGATTTAGAACTTGTGTGCTTTTATAATTAACCCTCCAAACCCATGGCCGGGTTTGAAAGGGATGTCATCTTTAAAAAAAACGAAACAAAACCTGACAGAATTATGTCTTTTATCATAACTGCAAATTGTATAAACACAAAGAATCGTCACATTTTCAACTTTCCAGCAGTCCTTCAGCTGCTCATCTGTTGCTCGCTGTTCTATCAAAAAACTTGACCAGATGTAAAAATTGAGATAGTTTATCAAAATCACTTCATTTTACATGTTTTATTTAAAACAGTCAAAAGGAAATCATTTGCAATTACCAATTTATGTAAAAAAAAACAAACAAAATATTTAGTGCTCCTTGGCACAACCATGAAGCCATCAGTGTCTCAGCTGCATTCAACAGGACCGTGAAATTTAAGGATTTATCCAGAGCAGATAGGTGATAAATATGGAATCAAATTAAAAATCTAAGTAGTACAATATTTATGTAATGTAGGGTTATTATTTCTTTCAGCATTGATAATCCCTGTCACAGATTGGAAAATATTGTACACGTCGATTCCAAGTTTTTATAGTTTTGTCAAATGAGTTCATTTTTGTATTTTTTATATGATTTATGGCATTACAGCTTTGTCATACTGCACAAAACACATTTTTAGATTCTCTCAACTTCATACATGGTTGTGTTGTTTCCATAGAGATGCATGACTTTATATTTCAGTGAAAAATCAGTCCACAGTGAGTATACAACACTGATTCAGAGGCCTAATACCAGTTAAGTGCACAATGTTTTATCTTCACACTGACAAACTGTTACATGTTTGAATGCACTCCATACTCTGATCTGTTTTTCTCTCTTTCTACCCCTCTTTACCTTCGTCTTTTATCCCTGACTGTCCACCTTGTTTTGGTGCAGGTCTGCCAAAGTCTTCAGAGCAGGCCTACATTGAGTTTGAGAGCATCGAGGCCATAGTGAAGACAGCAAGCAGGACCAAGTTCTTCATCGAATTCTACTCCACTTGTCTGGAAGGTGAGATTGACACGCCTGCACCTCTGCAGTGACTCATTCACAAACACAGACGTAACAGATGTACTAAAGTCAGACAGAAACCACCAGGCGGAACAGTGCAGACGTAGTTCTTGTAAGGCCAAATGAATATAATAAATGTGTCTGCTTCTTTTTGTATCTGTCTCCCTCCCTCCCTCCCTATCTCAGGCAGTCAGTATACCTTTAAGCTAGAATCCATGTTTGACCTGTGCTGCATCCCCACCTGAATGAAATGCATTAGAAACATCTCCCTCTTTGTCCCTTTCTCCCTCCCACCTCTCCGTCCCACCTCGCTCCCTTTGTCCTTTCTCCCATCACCCGACCCTGCTCTTCTGTCTCTTTCTTTTTCATCTGTAGAGTTTAAGAAAAGTTATGAAAACGACAGTCAGAGCAGCGACAACGTCAACTTTCTGCGTGTGGGCTGGTCCAACAAGCAGCTAACAACGCTGAAACCTCTTCTGTCAGAGATTGAGTACCTGCAGGACCAACATCTGTTACTAACAGTGAAATCACTAGATGGATACGAGTCTTACGGTATGAAGACGTGTTCAAGTTTGTGAGGCAACTGTGTGGTTCTTTGAAGTTGATAAAGTAATTGAATCTCTTGTGGTTTGTTAAACAACCATGTGTGTGTTTTGTTTCTCATGCTAGGAGAGTGTGTGTTGGCTCTGAAGTCGATGATTGGCAGCACAGCGCAGCAGTTCCACACCTACCTGTCGCACCGTGGAGAGGAAACAGGAAATATCAGGGGGTCCATGAGGGTCAGAGTCCCATCTGAAAGGATGGGAACCAGGGAGAGACTGTATGGTAATGCACTAAATATAAAACACTTTGTGGGATAGTGTAGTGAACTGTCAGACAGACAAGAAACCTGAGTAGGAAAATAAACAAAAAACAATTCCTTAAAGAGCAAAAAGAAAAAGAGATGATCTAAGTGAAGGCTTTTAATTTTTAAGAAATTGCAGACATGAATTGTCAAAATAATGGTGTTTGACATTCGTAAGTGCCTCATGTTTAATTTGAAAACCGTTTTTATTGTTGTATTTCAGAGTGGATCAGTGTGGACAAGGATGAGACAGGTGGACCTAAAGGGAAATCCACTATGGTGTCCAGGGTTGGACATGAGTATGTGAAGTCAGTACATTTCTCACTCTTTTCATTTTGCAAATGCAAAAAGTTAAATGTATTCAAATACCTTATCCTGCAATGTACACACACAAAACATTTTATCTACTCACAGACGATGTGAATAACACTGATTATCTCAAAGCAATAGTGCATGTTAAGGTCTGGGATGCATTAAATCAGAGCTCCAGACTGCGACCATTTTTTGAGAGTGTGTGAGCTGAAATTTCAGCTGGTCACATTTGTGTGAGCGCATGATGATCACTAAGCTGTTTTGATGTCACTGTAACTGGCGCAGGCACCTACTGTGTTAACTACAGTGGTGGAAAGTAGCATTTTAATAACTTGATGGACTGTGGTAGTTACACTTAAAAATGCGGCCTTCTAATGAAATGTGGAGTGCGGTTGCAGTCGCTGTTTTCTATGAGCGGAACAACGCATGTAGGCGCTCTCCGCATTGTACAAAAAAAATTCCTCTGTGTCGTTTCGGACAAATCTGACACTAGAACACGCCAGTTTAACACTTTTCAAAGCATTTTTCGGTCACACACCTGTCTGAACACACCGCGGCCACCAAGCAGAAGCTACCACAGCCTGTAGTGTGGAGCGTTGAGGGAACATCTGTAAGTTGTATTGTCTATCGACAAGCAGATGTTCAGATAGATAGATAGATAGATAGATAGATATTTGTCATGTGTGCAGCATAAAAAATAGCAGTTTACCACCATGCAATGAAACTGTCTTGTTTGCACACTCCCATGTATACATATTAAAAAATATCAATATAAAATCAAATTAATAACAATAGAAATGATAAAATAAAAAGAGAGAGAAACTAAGGTGCATATTTATCTATTTAAATATAGCAGCATCAGTGAGATGTATGATGTAGCAGCAAATATATATATTTAAAGTGCAAGTGATGTGTTTTGCCTGTGACAAGGTGGGAGGTGCGACCAAATAAGGAAGTTGGTTGCACTGGTGCTACCAGTGAAAAAGTTAGTCTGGAGCCCTGCATTACATGATAAGTCAAGTCTTCTAGTCCACGTGTTGGATGCAGGATAAAAGGGCAGGTGTAAATGCTCAAAACAACTTTGACAAAGGCCAGAGGATTGTGTCACAGCATCTCTGAAATGTTACGGCTTGCTGGTTGCTCGAGGTCAGCAGTGGAAAACATGATCCGGATTATCACAAACAATATTCAGCATTTTTCCAGTTACTGGTGTCACTATTTTCAGCTGCCTCTGTTTATCTGTCATCTCCACTCTGTGGTCTCGCGTAATTCCCCACCCACAACACTGTCTGATTGGGGACACCTCCCGAGCCAATCAACACGGAAGAATAAATGTTGAAACGTTATCTTGTGATTAAACATATTAAAAACATTAACAAAGTGGGCATTTCTGTGAGGCTTTGTGTTGGAGTTTGTGTAATTCTAAATTCTGACACCAGGATTTGCATTTCTACTGCAATAGTGTATCAGTACCAAATGTCGTATATCTGTTTCCTTATTTGCGAATAATCAGTATTGGTATCTGCCCTTAAAACAACACATCGGTTGGTCTCTACCTATCAAAGCCAAAGTCCAAGGAGAGACAAGGCACAAACTGGTGACAAGGCGTCGGGAGATGTGTTAGAACAAGTTTGATAAGTGGTGGCTCCAACTTGGAACTTACAGGACAACTGCTGCCAATATCTTAGTGCCAAATACCACAGGGCACCTTCAGAGGACCAGCAGCATATTAGGCAGGGGTGGTCATTATGTTTTGGCTCATCAGTGCATACTCTGTCTATATTCACATCATAATGTATACAACCATAATCCAAGGTAAGATGATGAAGTACCGCAAACTTGTTTAGGGAGTGTGCTTGAATTTGTTTTTGCACAGTATAATCCAATCAGTTTGGGTTACAATGTATTTGTATTTATAACTATGTGTTCATGTGTGAAACTTCGTCTCATTTCTCTTTTTTTCCCCCCATTTTTCATTTTTCAAACTCGCCATCTAATTTGTACAATTTAATACAGCAGAAACATTATTGTCATGTGTTCAAAAAAATAATCGTAGTAGTCAACATTTTATGTGATTAGTGAAAAAGGCTTAAGTCAACAGCTGTGGAGATTTTTTCTGCCCCCCACTGTCAAATGACGGAAACAGCAGAAACGTCATCAAACTGAGCAAATGAAACCTCTGTAATAGTCAAAGTGGCAACTAGAACCAGTATGTTTTTAAAAAAATAATAATTTAACTATCTTTTAAAGTACTCCTGTGTATTTTAGACTTTTTGATCTGTGTTTTGAAAATGTTAAAAATGGAAAGTATCTAGATTCAAAGTCTGTTTGCCATTTGACTGATGATGACCCATGATGATTGACATGTTGTGTTTTGTTATTTTTTTAAGCCCTATTAAATTTTGAGAGTTTAAAATGCTACACAGAAACTCTCCTTTTTTTTCTTTCTTTTTACCTTTTTTTTTGATTCTGACAAGTTCACACACTTTCTGACTTCTCTGTTTGGTCCCACCTGCTCACTTGCCATGTTTTGTGATGCAGGCCATCTGCGGTGCGTAAACAGCTTGGAGAGCTGGGAAAGCTCAGTGAGGAGGGAGAAAGGAGCATCAAGGAGGACACTGCTGCAAGGTACACTCATACTTTGTGTACATGCCTAACCACACAAAAAAGGCAACCATTTGAGCACTTTGTTAATGTGAAAAGATCAAAATAGAGCATGCTTACCCAACAAAAAGTGACACTAAATAAATAAAAAGTCAAGCCTTCAACCACCTGCTCTGTTTTTGTGTCTGTTGTGAAGACCTAAACAGGACACAGCAGACGGTGATCCGTCGATCTGCAAGAACAGCTACAATAATCCCGCCTACTACATCCTGGAGGGCGTTCCCAACCAGTCAGCTGCAGCTCTTTCACCTGAGCTTCTCCCATCTCCTACCTCAGCAAACCCCCAGGCAGCTAAAGCCCCTCCTCCCTCAGCTGGAGCTCGAACCAAACCCCCCTGTACGACCTCAGCGGCCTCCCACCCGCGCAGACCCATGACAGGACACCCGGTCCGTGCCATTAGCGAGGAGGGATCCTCGGAAGACGACGGAGGTGCTGGTGTGGCAGGGGCACAGGGAGGAGGCGTCGGAGGAATAACTGTTGGAAGCACACTGAATAGACCACCTCCTGACTTTCCACCACCTCCTCTCCCTAAAGGAGCACTGGAGATGGTTGCAGAGGCCCCCTTTACAAAACCTCGGCCTCTTTACCCAGACCTGGCTGAGGTCAGAATCCCAGCAGCCGGCCCCAGCGCCCCGCTTCCCCTCGGGGAGGGTTTTAGGCGAGGAGGAGTTGGAGGAGTCGGAGCAGGAGCGCTGGACGACCAGTCGTGTTCTGTGCTCCAGATGGCAAAGACACTGAGTGAGAGTGAGTTTCCTGGACAGCCTCCACGCGCTCCTTCAGCTCCACCACCTCTCAGAGGGCAGCCGATGGGGTTAGGTCTGGATGCCTGCCGCACCTTCCCGCCCAGAAATCCCATCACAGAGAGTATCGCAGAGGACATGCCAGAGGAGGTGAGCGTTTCGTTTGAATTCATTTAGTTCAGCGGCTTATTCAGCAACATTTTTTAATATAATGCACTTGTTTTGGCAGCTACACTGACTGAAGCTGTGACTTTTTGGGGTTGTTTTGAGAATTTTCTTTCAGGTCATCAAACAGAAGCTGTCTTTATTTTGGACATGAGTTATGAGGCTTTTTGCCGAGCAATTTACTTAATGCCTCCACCGTTCACACAGCTGTCTATAAGAGGCTACCACAGGATAGGTGTCTCTGTGTTTTCTAGTTTAGGGGCCTTCTTCTTGGGGCACTCGGGAGCTCTCGCATTTAGTATCTTTTACTGTCTGTGGTTGGCATATATTGTGTGGCAGCTGTTATAAGCTAACATGTTTCTAAGGCTGTTTTTTACTTGATTCTGCATTTCTATCCATTCCTGCAGGCACTTTGGGGCAGCAGTAGTTCATCTTTGTCTGTGGGGGAATCTTCAGTGGGGGAGTGGCTGCAGAGACTGGGGCTGGAGAGGTATGAGCAGGGGCTTCTACACAACGGCTGGGACGACCTGGAGTTCCTAAGGTACATGCAGTCACACACGCAGACTGTTACGATAATGGTATAGTAAGAAAATAAGATACAGGGATTATGTGAAATGAAGAGAATTAACAGAAAAATCTCCAACTTTGGTGCAGAATGACTGACAGTCTGAGCTCCTGCAAGTATACTGAGTCTGTGGAATTACACACTTATTTTCAGTTTCCTGTTTCTGTTAAAGTACTGATCACTGTTATACTCTGCTTTTTTAAATCTGTTGTTAAGGCATGT